ATGCAATCTTTTATGAGTGCTGACGTACTTTCTTTCATTCATTATGAAGTTCACGAGCGACCGCAGACCTTTTGATTTCTAATGTAAGACTTGCATACGGCTTTTTCATGAAAACAAAGTTAAATTAATTAAACAAAACGTGATTAAACTAAATTTGATCGTATATACGAATTGGACTTGAGAGTTAGTTAAATTTCATATAAATGCTCCGTTGTTGTTTAAATTTAAATCCTTAGGGCTTGGAGACAGACTGTCTGGGAAGGATCAGGGACCGTTAGGGCGCGGCCGGACAATGAGAAAATTCCGTTAACTACGTCGGAAAAGCTCGCTGAAACCCGGCACGACCTACTTCACCACCGTGGAAATTTATGGTCAAAGCTGACGTCTATCAGATTTGTCGGACTGCTCCTGGAGTCGCACTTAATTTCACGAGGGCGTCCTTGGTTCGTTCACGGCATACCGCATTCAGACACACAGAAGTTTTCTTTCCGTTTAAATTTGAAAGTATTTAAGGATATCGCGGGGGGGACAAGACTCCCTTCCTACACAGGGTCTGTTAATTTGAATAAATCAACAAAAACATTTCAATTTGCATGTATGGCAGCTTAAACTATGTACCCTACAAACATAGACATTAAACAATGAGTATTTATTATTATTTAATACTTAACTGATACGGCTAATTTTGATCTTAAATTTGAAAAGGGGTGAGAGTGGGTTGATAAGACTAAGGTGCGGTTTTATTTTTTATCCCAAAATTTCGCATTCCACATGATCAAAATTCATTATCTGGTTTGTCATGCTCTTATTGTATGATTGTTTCAATAATTTCACAATTAGGGTTGGTTTCCAAATGAATCAGTTAGATTAGACTATAAATTCTACATTTAACTAATCATAGCGATATTTTTGAACTTAAAATATAATACGAAGTGAAATCAGTTTGATGAGACAACCAATCGAGGACGTTAGTTTATTTTTTCACCCCCTATAGATGCATTCCAATTGAAAAAAATTAATCTTGTTTTAATTATTTTATCGTTTATTTTTTCACCCCCTACAGATGCATTCCATATGGAAAAAATTTAATCTTGTTTTAATCGTATTATAGTTTACGTTTTCACCCCCTACAGATGCATTTCATATGGAAAAAATTTAATCTTATTTTAATCGTTTCATAGATGGAAAGTTTTTGTGATGAAGATAAAATATAGCAGTGGGTATTTATTTAGTAATAAAATAAAGGCTAATTTTGAGCTTAACAATAAAATCTAGAGGGAATGCGATTTACAAACCTAAATCAAGTTTTTATCAAGCACGAAGCAACAAAAAAAGTATATCTAACCAAAACTGAAGATAATATTTTATACGGCTTAATTGTTACCCTCAGTATTTTCAACTAGATAATTAAATTATGATCTTTACCGAAACATAAATAAAAACTTTTTAAATCTTTTAAAATGTATGTAAAATATATGTTCAATTTCTTATATTTTCTTTTTCAGTTCAACTTAAGGTTGTAATGGCTTGCTTTAACGTCTTCATCAGGATTGATGCTTCACCGGATTGCGTAATTCCGTGCGAGATCTGGGTTGATTTCGTCGACGATAGGGGGGTTATCCTGGGCCTGGACGGCTATGGGATACCCGGTTACTTTCTCTGAGGACATTCACTCGTCTGGAAAGACTGAAAGCCTTTTGGGGAAAACGCATCAGATACCGTCTCGGAAAAGCTTTTTAACCACTTTTCCGCGAAATGTTTCCCCTAGGTTCCGATTAAACTCGTGAAATAATAAACGGTTAAAAATCCGACCTTATCCTCGGTCTATTTCTCAACCCTTTTGAAACAAATCAGCCGGTCCGGCTTTTAAAAATAAACAAACAAAAGTTGAAACATTTTGGTTATAAATTATCGTAAATTGACCTGTTATTTTTTCCTGAAATAACTAAATCTATCATTTTCTATCTAATTTTGATCTCTTATTAAAGCCCTTCAAATAGAGAGACTAATAAAAAACTATTTACAAAATTACAAATAGGATAAAATTAACCAGATAACTGACAGCTATTGTTCAACGATTTATCTATACCCACTTGAAAACTTTTAATATTTTTTAAAACTTAAAAAAAATTTAAGTTTACAAATAAACAAACCAAAGTTGAAACATTTCGGTCATAAAGTATCGTAAATTCACCTGTTATTTTTTCTGAAATAACTAAATCTTTCATTTTCTATCTAATTTTGATCTCGTATTAAAGCCCTTCAAATAGAGAGACTAATAAAAAACTATTTACAAAATTACAAATAGGATAAAATTAACCAGATAACTGACAGCTATTGTTCAACGATTTATCTATACCCACTTGAAATCTTTTAATATTTTTTAAAACTTAAAAAAAATTTAAGTTTACAAATAAACAAACCAAAGTTGAAACATTTCGGTCATAAAGTATCGTAAATTCACCTGTTATTTTTTCTGAAATAACTAAATCTTTCATTTTCTATCTAATTTTGATCTCGTATTAAATCCCTTCTAATAGAGAGACTAATAATATTAAAAAAAACTACAAAATTACCAGTAGGATAAAATTAACCCTCTATAACTGAAAGCTATTGTTCAACGATTTATTTATACCCACTTGAAAACTTTTAATATTAAAAAAAAGTATTACACCCTTACAACGCAATTTTGCAATGTTGTTTGCTTATTTCACTGTTCCATTTTGGGGTTAATGATCCGGAAACGTTATCCTTCGACTTATACCAACACTTCTATCGTATTGTTTATTTATAAAAGGTCATTTATTATTTTGTAAACGAATAATCACCGATAATCCACATAGCGCAATGCGTGGTATAAATATTGACGAAAGTTTCTGTGAAAATGGGCGAGAGAAAGCAATGGGAACACTACATAAGTGATGGAAATAAACAATTTATTGGTCAGTGTTGTAAATATAATAGATAGTGGTGGGAAATGATGATTATCGGTTTCAACTCAATCTAGAATGCATTTTGAAAAATGATTTGTTCTGTCAATAACCTATTCGCTTAATATATCGAGGCAACATAAAGTTTATCGTGATAATACTTAGTAATATACAAAAACAAACCGACATGCATAAAACTTAACATCCAACAGAGGAAAAATGTAATGTGCATAAGCTCGACAAAGAGGTGTTTTCTTTCTTGACCTACACAACAAAGTTGATTTTGAAAAAAAACCTTCCCAGATAACGAGCCTATAAATAAGGGCAGACAGCGAAACCAGACGGTCCAGTAATGATATTTGATTGCCAGTTTGATTATCCACCACATTTCATTTGAATTGACATCATATATAATTTTATAAGAATGCATTCCTAGTTATTAGAAATAATTATAGGAATCGGATTTTATGTATTTAAACTGTATATAAGTTGTAATTTATGATGTCTACTAGATTCGAGTGCAATGTTAATAAATAGATATTTTCACAGTCTAATATAGTAAGTTATAGAATACATTCACTTTTGAACAAGGAATACGAGTTTTTCGATTGTAATATTCTAGTTAGACCGTTCAAGGCTGATATAAAACTACTCTTTCATGGAAAATGTAGGTTGTTTTTCGACGCCCCAAGGAACAAAGTCCGTAATCGGTTTAGGTACAATTAGTGTCAATTAAATGACGCAAAAGCCTTTTAAAAAAATACCGTACTAGAAACCGGCCGTTCACATTTTCCCTGGTCTTAAGTCGAGATTTTATTTAGATTTTAGAGCCAATAAGCTGTTATTTCGAAGAAGAAGCCCGTTTTGATCGACTTTGATGCGCCAGACTTAGCTATTTCCTCGGAGCGTCTAGTCTGAGTCGTAAAAGAAAACCGTTTTCTAGGAAAAGAAAAACAGTGTGAGATAAAAACTAAATGTACAGAGTAAACTGGGACACACCCAAAATAAATTCGGTACCAGCCTTGTCGGATTGTTTTCATCCTTGGCCCGTTTTGTGAGTGTGTGTGAGTGGGTCAAAAATGTTTACTCTGGATAGCACTGTTCCTGACGTTTAATCAGCTTTATCGCTTCGGGATACAGATCGACTATATGATTTTTTTGAAGGGGAAATGGCATTCGATAGAAGTCCTGATACCGTCCGGGTAAGGAAAACAGAATTGAAATTGCAAAACTGCTAAAAGTTCTCACATTTACTAGATATCTATAACTGTTTGTTTATTCGTTTCCATACTTAAATCACTGGGGTTTTCCCTTATTTCCAGAGAGCTTTCCATTTCAAGTCCAAGTCCAAGCATCGGCCTAAAAGGCATGGAGGCTGCTATTCAGGGAATTCGATGCGATCAAAACAGAAAAGGACCGTTAAGAAAATATACGCGATAAGCCAAACTACCAAATGAGATTTCCATGGAAATCTTAAATTTTACCATCGATATTGGACTAAATCAAAACATTTATATTACTCTTATTAGGCCTACTTTTATTAATATTTCCAAAAGTTCGTTGAACTTAATGATGGCATTATGCCGCAGCGCGTCTCCGCACAACAGCGAGAATAGGCGGACCGAAGGTCAGATCAAACTTTGATCATACCGCTATCAAACTATTCAATCAGTTTGTTCAAACGTGACTTAAGCATAGACATTTCTACACGGTGTATCAATATAGAGATAGCATAGTATTAAGTAAGATGCTTGACGTTTTTAAACTAACAATTTGTCGATTGTTTGATGTTCCTGTTACTCAAACAAAAGTTCACATAAATTTATTTTCTATTTCTAAAGTTTTGTTTTGGTTCAAAACTAAAATACAATATTTATTAGGTACTTAATGATTTGAAGAATATTTTGAAATATCTCAGCCTTCAATCATTTCTACAGTTTGATTGATAAAGTTTACTTTTGAGTCTTAGTTGAATCCGATTAACTGTCATTTGTCACTACTGGCATTTGTTTGATACTTAGTGATGGTTGAGTCAGTTGAATATTGAATTTACTGGGTCGGAATACGTACCTGAAGGTGGCTACGAAGTTGGTGGTTGGCCAGCCAAGGACGAACGACGTATCCTTAGATTTGGACACTTCGCAGACGTCCTCGATCCCGGAGAGGCACATCCAGATTTCCGAGACACGCACCTTCTCCTTCAGCTTGAAGTTACCACCCGATCTCGCCTTCGCGATCAGCAGGAGGTCGTTGAAGAGGAACAGATGCCTCTCTTGGCTCTGGACGCCCTGGAAAAAGAACCAATATGAATATTTTGAATGTACAATTAAAATTCTTATAGTTTCATATCGCATAGCATGTTACATTATATTTGTATGTAATGTTTGGGAAACTAGACAAATTTTAATAGGAATATTTTGGAAATTCCATCGAACTTGGCCTGTTAAATTTTTACAGGCTTTGGGTATTTAATTCTGTCCTTTCAAAGGCCATCCAATTACAAAGTTTCAATGCTGGTCGTAAACACCACTTGATATCAGAATAAAGTGCGCGCATGAAATTTCCGTATTTTTGTACGGATTAGAAATAAATGCCAACATCCTTTCGGTAAAAATTGGCCGTTGAACTTTTACAAGGAAGCAATCTCGAGTTGATTAAGAGGTACATCGAGGAAGGTTCAGGTAGTTGAATACAGTGGGCGGTCTCGCTGTTTTTTCCCACAATTCAAAGGGTTTCTCAATGCAATTTTTATTGCAACCGGCACAATGCTGATCTTGAGCAGGCAAGCGAAACAACGAAGGCCCTTTGAGAAAATGCCGGCTTTTACTATGTTAATATCCCCCAAAAAAATTTTATTGCGTTTTATTTTTGTTGGACTCTACCGCGGTTGGGATAAAAGGGTTGTTGACAAATTTAAAAGATCAAGCCAATCTGTCGGCAGTTTTTCCCTTTAGAAATATACTTTATTACGCTTAAATTCAGTAAGCTAAAAAAGGAAGCCGAAAAGGGAAAATGTTTCTATTTACAGCCAAAACGCAAAATAAAAATTATTTGATAAGTAAAACGAAGTAAAACTTCACTAACAGCTCCCCATGGCCAATTTATATGTCGCCTAGAATCGAATCCAGATTACACGACATTTGAAAAATGGCCAAAAGGAGGGAAAATTCGAAAGGTTGTAAGGTGAGATGTGGAGTTGGTGTCCGAGTGGGTCGAAGTCACGATAGCTCAAGTGGTAGAGCAGCGGAGTATTTAGCCGAAGATTGTGGGTTCGAATCCCGCTCGTTGCATTAACTTTTTCATTTCAACCAAAACCTTACATAAAAAGATTTAAGTCTTGTATAAGCTTAGTTTAGTCAACACGGATTTTCGTTCTTGATGTGTCTTCGTACTTGCCGATGTTTTTATTGTTTGTATCTCAAGTTTTGTGTCGGGATACCACGTCAGTTTACTGTCTAGGTAATTGAGGTCTAAATATTTGTCTTCAATGGACGTCGGTGTCTCCTTACTGCTGATGATAACCAAAAAATAAATGACTTTTTTGTAGTATCGAATCTACCAATAAAAGTTTTTATATGATTATTTGCAAGCCTTGAGATGCGGTCTCGTGTGACGTAGGTTTCAGAAAAACATTTTCTTTATCGTGCCAATGTTTCGATCTTTATTGAGAACATCTTCAGGGCTCAGTGTTTGTTTTCCGTGTAGATGTACCATTCTTGTCTGTCATGTTGAGAATGCCTATACCTTGTGTTGTCTGCATTTTAACAAAAAAGTTATCTGATTGATAGTCGATGCTAGTTGGTGTCACAAGACAAGACAAGAATGACACACTTTGAGAGCTGAAGATGATCTCAGTAAAGATCGAAACGTGACACGATAAAGAAAATGTTTTACGAAAGCCTACGTCACACCAGACAGGTGAGGTCACAGCACACATCTCACGACCTCCAACTGTCACTAAACACCACACAGGTTTTTATAGGTGAATATAATCGATTCGGCTTTTGTTTATTAATTATTATACAAGAATTATTCTAACTTTAAATCTTACACGAAGAAGAACAAAACATGTTTGAGAGTATAACTGGTGAGTCTAAATTAGGGATGATTCTATTTCTGAATTACATTTTTCAAGATTATAGCTCTTGTTTAGGCATTGTTAAACAAAGTGATAATAAAAATGTATACTTTTTATGTTGTATAACAGGTCGTTATTATAGTCAGTCACAGGCACGTCATTTTGCTGTCACATGAAAGCGCATCAAATTTATGTAAAGGCCAATAGGCTATATTTGATTCAATTTAAATAATTAAGATTTGTCTTAGAATATTATGTGCATATGTACTTAGTTGTCGCTTTTGAACGGGCATTACAGGCCGACCAGCTCTCGGCCCTGTTTCCACTGGGACATTTGAATAGAACCATGGGGTTAAGGTTCCAAAAACTATAAATAACAGATACACGTGGTCCAGGAGATAAAAAGGAAAATTCGTGGCAATGTTTGCTTACGCCGGGGATAAACTGGAAAGGGCTAAACAGAGTGGAGCCGTGTCTTTTATCAATAACGGCCCTTTTCCACGTGCAGCCCCCCGGTTCGGCTAGAGTGCACGTTTTATCGGCCGTGTGCCTCCTATTTTTACTGCACACGATGCCAATACTAACAATGAAACGGGCCATGTTTTACCCATGGCTCGTGATGTAATACCTCTCTCGTAACATGAATGCTTCTAGGCTCAACTCTTTAATCCGACGCTTTTTTTTTTCATTTTGCCTGGACCACCCGTCTACTGAAAAATTCCACTAAAAAAATTCTTATTCCAATTTTGATGTACTTAGGGCCCGTGGCACCAATTTGGTTTAAACTCACAACCTAGTTCAACTCAAAAATTGGCGTTTTTCAATTTCTAAACGGTGATGAAACGATGATCCTGGTTCGATCATCTGAACGGCCGTTGAGCGTTGGTTAAACGAAGATCAGAGCTGGACGACGATCATAATAATATAACTTGTATGTTGTTAAAGGGCTGTTCTCACGATTCAACTTTTGATGCTTTTATTTAACTTTCAATAAAAGTGCATTAACTTTTGATTTAAGCACTGTTCTTTCATAGACTATGTTCTAATTGGCTTAATTTTGTTGTCTTTTGCGCTAGAACTCAACGCATTTTATCTCACATAGCTATTTATACTCATCAAGTATTAGACCGAGAGGTTCATAAAATCATAAATTTTGTGCCAAAGACATTAATTTTGCAATAGTGGATCCGGTAATTTCTATTTTTTTGACGATAGAAAACCATTTTCCCACCCCTATCTGAATTTCTTATATGTACGATATATAAATCATTGATTCCAAAAGAAGTAATGCTTATGATAAAATTGTATAAGTTTTAGCAAAATTGGCACTCTCAACACGACACGCAAGGATGGCACAATTACACAGAAGACAAACACTTTGAGCCCTGAAGATGATCTCAATAAAAGATCGAAACGTTGGCACGATAAAGAAAATGTTTTTCTGAAACCTACATCACACCCGACCGCATCTCACGATATCTGAATTACTATCGATTAACGGTCACTAATCTCTACACACTTCGATAAATGTGAACAACTTTTATGTGAAAGACGCTACCTAGAATTGCCTAGTAATCCGAGGCAAAAGGCAAACGTCTAGATTTTGCAGTAATAAATCAGGCAATTCAAATGTTAAATAATACGATAAAATTCTAAAAATTTTAGTGCCAACCTCAAATACAATTGAGGCTTAGTTTTGTTGAGTTTTAAACTATTTTACAAACAAAAACAACAAAAAACTAGTTGAACTAAATCAGAACAACAAAAATCTTAAGAACGTGCCTTAACAAAAACCTGTTCGTTAGTAAAAGAAATTCATTTGATAAATATATGGATACAATGGATGAATTTTTACAAATAAATGTAGATGAACAAAGGAAGGGATTTTAGAACATGCAAGACCATTTTCACGAATGAGACATGATGGATTCTTTAATAGATTTACAATGTCAAAAAAAAATTCTGACTTCGTTGAGGAAAGAAAAATTAAGGAAAAAGCGAAAACACAAAAATATTAAATAAATGGAAAGTGGTACAACAGCCGATGTAAACAATTAGTGGACACTGTCATCACTATCTACAACCATACAAACAGAGTACAATCAGTCCTACCCACTAAAAGTTGAAGTAGGATCAGAAGGTCTCTTACAGATGGTGCAACGCTTCTCTGAACTTGGTTCAAATATGAACGATGTTCCAGTGAACTCGGTTTTAACCGTGGCTGCTGCAACGGGCGCTTATTATTTAACATTGATTACGGTATAGGAATCACAAATCAATTAATTCCATTGAGGCTTTTTTATTAGCTACTTACTTCCGGACTTTGAATTAGTTTCATCATGTTGTATGCTGTTGGTATAAAAAGGATTCGTACAACACACAGGTCAAATATTATTAAAGGCATTACGCCGAAGTGCCCCACATCACGATGAGAATAAGTAGATTTTTGATTGACCAATCCATTAACTAATTATTCAAATATGACGTAGGTGCAAGATTGACAGAAGATCAACAAGACAATCAACTGGAGATGGCGAAATGGATAAACGCGTCAGACAGACTAAGTTGGATAGATCAGACCAGAATGACCTTGCAGACCTCAAGACAAATTCTTACTGTCTAAGCGCATAGTAAGTTTTTAATCTATACTAAAGATTTATTATTTAATAGTATTAAACCTGATTTAATCGTGGGGCCAAATTTTTTTAGCATAAACAAAATTGAAAATTTAATAAAAATAAAAATTACAGTACTGTCACTGCACCTGTCTAGTGAACTGCAGGGGCAAGGTCAGATGAATGCAACTAATCCGTGTTTAACTGCAGAATGCCTCCGGATTGCTCTCAAAATAACGAGTTACGACGAAGTGAGGACATCTAATAGTTCTTTCAGCTTGAGGTTTCTTTCTGCAGCCAACAAAAACGTTGATGAAGTCACGTCGAAAAATATACGCTAGCGGTGCAATGTGTTGGCATGAAAGAAAACTTCAGTGTTGAACTCTCTTTTGCTGAAGTTAATTTGGAGGTCTGCGGCATTACAAACAATCTACCACGTACTCTACGCGCGTTTTCTTTTTCTTATGTAATTCGCTAAGCGGTTTGCCCGTTCCGTGAGTGTTTTGTTAATCCTTGACTTTCAACCGATTTGTTATTTCCCGGACGATGAAATTTTAATTGATATTTTATTGAAAATTAACTTGAGATTACAGCG